AAGGTGATTATGAAAAAATATCTGTTTTAAATACTCTCAATTATTTGACAATAAACATTCAAACACTTTGCTGCAGCTACCGGTGGTCGAACCCGTGATCTCTAAAAACAACAACAATTACTTTAACCACTAAAATAAGTTGATTCGTGCCAAATGACTATCACTTTAATCCTAAATATATGCAATATTTATATAAAATCTAGTTAAAAATTAAACTGAAAAAGAAATGTTATTCTTAAAAATTAAATTTCTCATTATATAATATACCGAAATGTGTAAGAAGTAGATCCCATAAGTTAGTTTTCACTCTCAATCGGTCATCTCTAATTCTGTCCACTGTATTAAAGGCTATTTCCGTCATTTGAGAATTGGATAAAGGCTTCTCTTACGTGTCATCCCTGAACAGATGACATGTCAGCAATGAACTTGTACCACAAAACCAAAGCATCATCCCAAACTCACCACAGCCTCCAACCAATCCATCCATATATCCAAAAGGATCAGAATCACATGTTCCACAAAACAACACTCCTATCTTGCGCTACATGATTATCACCCAACATCAACGCTTTAGACTCAACAAATGTTACAAATCTCTCGATTTCACAATTGCTGACCATTTTAAACCAGTGCTCCTCACCATACCGAACCATCGCTATGAAAAGCAAGAAACAGAGTAAACTGATATTTAAAAAGCTCAGTTTCCTGCTCTGTTTTATGTTCACACAATAGTTACACACTGTTTTTCAATGGCGAAGCCTGTTTCGATTGAAGTGTGGAACCCCAATGGGAAATACAGAGTTATCAGCACAAAACCCATGCCTGGAACTCGATGGATCAACCTCTTGATCCAGCAGGATTGCCGTGTCGAAGTAATTATGAACTTCTCTTCTCTAAATCCTCCGTTTTCGTTTGTGAAATCTCTGTTTCCCTGTTCTTGATGTAACCCGGTTTTTCCCCCTTTTCCAGATATGTACGGAGAAGAAAACAATACTGTCCGTTGAGGATATCATTGCTTTGATCGGCAATAAGTGTGATGGGGGATTGGACAGTTAACTGAAGACTGGGGGGACACTTTGTTCGCGGCCTTAAGCAGAGCAGGAGGCAAAGCTTTTAGTAACATGGCTGTTGGTTACAACAATGTTGACGTTAATGCTGCGAACAAGTATGGTGTTTCTGTTGGCAATACTCCTGTAAGTTCCCTTTTCATAGGATGTAAATGAATATAGCTTGAAGGAATGCAGTTATATTCGTGTTCGGTTATTTATTTTTTGATGTGCTTTGTGCTCATTTAAATTTTTACTACTATGTTCGTGTTCACTTGTTTATTTTACCTGTTGTTCATTTATTGTTATAAATAAATCGATAACAAGTTTATAAGATACTGTTTGTGAACATATATATAAATGGAACACACCTTTGTTATTAAATGAATGTAAGAATTTTATTTATTCTCGTTTTTTTAGTTTAATAAATGAAAATTATACAACAATCACAAACAGTCATACACTCTTCATTGCAAATGGCTTTATCCTCTTACCCTTTGTACTCTGATTTTCGATAGGCTTGTTGAATCATATTTGGGTATGTTTTCATGACGTTGGTAAGTGCTAAGCCCCATGTGTTCGATTATATGTCAGACTGTGCTCTGTACATGCTAAAACAATAAATAAACTGGCAGCATAAATAGTTACTAATCCACCTTTCTTGTTCATAACAGTAATGGAAGCTTTTTACCACGTGGGGAATAGTTACAAAGTTTGTACTAATGTTATTGTTAACTTGGTGCAGGGGGTACTCACAGAAACAACCGCAGAGCTAGCAGCTTCTCTTTCTTTGGCAGCTGCTAGAAGAATCGTTGAAGCCGATGAGTTCATGAGGGCTGGCTTATATGATGGATGGCTTCCTCATCTGTATGTCCTCTAACATACCTTATATTTCGGTTTTCTTTAATGTCTATAGCATATATGATGAAATCGAGTCGTCATTTACATCATATTTGTCCAATTCCACTCGTATTTCTTGCAGGTTTGTGGGAAACTTGCTTAAAGGACAGACAGTTGGTGTAATTGGAGCCGGTCGTATCGGATCTGCATACGCCAGAATGATGGTAATCGCTTACTAAATAAATTACGAACCAGATTCCGTATGCATTGTTCAGAATAGATGATTTATCGAAAATTATTGAACACGTTGATCTTGGTAACCTCATGTATAGATAGAAATGATCATTTGGGTTAGTGTGCTTTTGATGTAGATGAGCATCTTTTTCATGTCATCTTCTACTTTTGGTCTTACTTTGCTGCATTAATGGGAGTCATTTTTGTTTTCCTATCTTATAACAGGTTGAAGGGTTCAAAATGAACTTGATTTACTATGATCTTTACCAAGCAACGCGGCTAGAGAAGTTCGTCACAGGTATGCGTTGGAACATTTTGTGCGAGCTGCTGAGTTTTCGATTTGTATGTTGCGAAGCTTATATGCTTCCTCATTGCAGCTTATGGCGAGTTCTTGAAAAGCAATGGCGAGCAACCCGTTTACTGGAAAAGAGCTTCGAGTATGGACGAGGTGCTTCGGGAGGCAGATGTGGTAGGCTTATCTTTGCTTAGAACATTTAATGTTGTTTCCAAATCCAGGTTTGGATTTTGCTGCAAATTAAGAGGGATTGCTATTGGTTCCCTTTGTAGATAAGTCTTCACCCGGTCTTGGATAAAACAACCTACCATTTGATTAACAAAGAAAGTCTTGCAACAATGAAGAAGGTGGCTAAGAGCTTCTCTTTGTCTTTAACGTCAAAAATATATTTTTTTTTCTTAGGGAAATATGAATTGGATTAAATTTTTTGCAGGAAGCAATCCTTGTGAATTGTAGCAGGGGCCCTGTGGTAGATGAAGTAGCTCTAGTTGAGCATCTGAAGCAAAATCCGATGTTCCGAGTTGGACTCGATGTCTTTGAGGTGAGCTTACATACTTTTGAATCTCGAATCAACGAACCACATGAAAACCACCCTCGGGTTAGTACATAAATTGTTCATTAATGGTGTTGCATTAGGATGAACCTTTCATGAAACCCGGGCTTGCCGAGATAAAGAACGCTGTCGTCGTGCCACACATTGCTTCTGCTTCGAAGGTAATGTTTGCTAGGATTCACATATCAGGCTGGACTCGCCTATCGGATTGTAAATTTCTTTTTCTTCGTGTTTATGCAGTGGACTCGTGAGGGGATGGCAACATTAGCCGCTCTAAATGTCTTGGTAATAACTTGCTCCTAACTTTATTCAAGTTCAGATATGATTGTCATTTCATTCGGAAAAAGGATCGAAGATGTTAGAATTCGTTATTGTGCTTTTCATCCGCGATAACCGCTGTTCTAAGCATTGCCGCACTTCCTGTATCTGCATCACAGGGCAAGATCAAAGGATATCCAGTCTGGGGTAACCCGAACCAAGTCGAACCATTCTTGAACGAGAACGCTCCACCTCCTGCAGCATGTCCAAGCATCGTCAATGCAAAAGCATTAGGTAATATCCATTTTCCAAACATGATCACCCTCCGAGCATTGCAGGTGTCAGGATGTACGAGTCTATAACTTTCATCTTCATTGATCCATCGTGTTTTCCGCCTCAGGTCTACCGGTTTCGAAGCTATGAGCACCAGCGGTTGACCTCGGTCCCGAGTAGTGTCTCCTATGAATATGACGTACGGGGTTATACTAAGTTTAGGTCATGTTAGAATGACAATTGCAATTGCCATGTATGTGTTGCCTGTGAAAGGTACTCTTTTATGGACGTATGGTTTGCTGTCTTGTATGTATGAAAGAACAGCTCTGTAATTTCGTCAGACAGTATGAATTTGCTCCCATAGATCCATCCATCTCTGTCCATTATACAACTTTAAATTGTATACGTAAAATTTTCAAGTATTTCGGTACGGATTAATTTTGAATTTAAATCAATTTTTAATCACTCCTCTAAAGGAATGTTTACTTATAATTCATAGAATTAAATTAACATTAATAAACTAGTTTTCTCTCATCGATATGTGTTTATCTATTTTCTTTTTCATTAATGTTGGTTGTCGACCGTCCGTGTTTTGTATTGTCTTTTTCCTTTTTATATTGTATCTATATTTTCTTTAATTTTTTATTTTCAATAAGTCTGCCTGAATGACACACATTTTCATTTGTCTTTTTGACATGTTTTTCTTATTTTTTTGACATGTTTTTCAATCGTTTGGCCTTTTTTTCATTTATCTTTTTTCGAATGGTTGATTTGACATCGTCATGACTGATCAAGATGACGATTATCTGATATCTCATTGATCTTCCCTGCTTTGGACCCTCGTATTGGATTTAGATTCTCGATTTGCGTTCGTGGATAACTTTTCACGTCTCTCGAGCTGATTTGTGGTTTGTCAATGGTATTTCAATAATTTGATCATCTTTTGTGGTTCGTTTGACTATGCGATCAGATCTGTTTGTATTTATCTTTGTTCGAGTTTCTTGGTTAGATTTTTAATATTTCCTTGTATGCTTCCTATATGATCTTAAGTTGCTAGTTTTGTTTTAATGATTATGAGATATTTTCCTAATTATATATTTTTACCGTAATTTGATATATTTCTTATATTATTAAAAAAAGAGAAAACGAATTAGAACTAAAAAGATACTTTTATAATAAAATATTTATAATTAGATTAAATATTTTTATTATAAATTTAATTATCACTTTTTAAAACTTTCTATTATGACGTTCATGCCCAATTATTCACTTGTTTCAGAAAAGGGCATTTTAAAGAGTATCTTACTTTAAGTAAAACACTTCTAATAAAATCCGAAACGAAAACCCTTTCCAGAATATTATATCGGAAACGACACCGTATCAGCGCCATGAATCCTTCTACAAATTCCCACGGTTTCAATCATGGTTAAATCATCATCCTACTTGGCTTTTACGGCCGTCTTCTGCAATTCGTTTTCTTTCCTCCTTATACTCGGTTAGGGTTTCAATCACCGCCAGTGAAGGAATCTTTTGGACAAATAATGGCGTCGACGTCAAAGAAGATAATGTTGAGGAGCTCCGACGGCGAGACCTTCGAGGTGGAGGAAGCGGTGGCGGTTGAGTCGCAGACGATCAAACACATGATCGAAGACGACTGCGCCGACAACGCGATACCTCTCCCGAACGTTACCAGCAAGATCTTGTCTAAGGTCATTGAGTACTGCAGGAAGCACGTCGAAGCCGCCACCAAGGAAAACAACTCCGAGGATGAAATCAGGGCATGGGATGCCGATTTTGTCAAAGTTGACCAAAATACCCTCTTTGACCTCATCTTGGTTAGTTTCTCCCTCTTTTGACGATCTCTTGTTCTTGCTGATGCCCAAGCAATGTATTTGATCATCACAATGCTGTTAGTTTTACTGCTTTTGGGCTGTTGGGTTTAATTGTCCTGTTTATTGCTCTGTTAGCAGAAATCATGATTACCATAGCGATTTTCGAATTTATTCTCACGATAGAATTAGGGAACATTAACAATCGAATTCAGAGAGACTGGAGATTTCATTAATAAATGGTTTATTACTATCTTATAATCTTATTGAGTAAAACAAATCATTCAGAAGCTTCAAAATTTATTTATTTATTTAGAAACGTAGACTGTCGTATAGAATTAAGTTTGCTTTGTATTGTTTTCTTCTTTGTATCAGAAGATCCACGTCCCTATAACAATGGCTTGTTGATCTTGATGATTAATTGCTCATTTTGTCCGGCTTACTTTCTATATGTGTTCTAAATCTCCTAATATTTTGATATTGGGATTTGCAGGCTGCGAACTATCTGAATATCAAGAGCTTGTTGGACTTGACCTGCCAAACTGTGGCTGACATGATAAAGGGGAAGACGCCGGAGGAGATTCGCAAGACCTTCAACATCAAGAACGATTTCACCCCCGAGGAGGAGGAGGAGGTTAGGAGGGAGAACCAGTGGGCGTTTGAATGATAGGAAGTTCTTAAATTAGATGTTGATATTACGATAGTTCCTGATGCTTTTTTGTGGTTTACCAGTAGGTTTTTCAGTTTGAGGAACATTGACTGTCTTAGGGTTATTTTGTTATTAAGCGTTATTGTCTTCTACTTTTAGAGGGTTTGATATGAACCTCTCCACAATCTATCATCGTAATATAATTTGAATTTCATAATTTGCTCTTTAGTTCTTTTGTTTTGTTTGATTTTCTTCGGTGTGTTTATTGAGAAAATAAAATAGGGGTAGATGAACAAAGCATTTGATTAATTGTTTGTATAATTTTCGTTTATTAAGTTAAATAAACGAGCATGAACATAACTTTTTGATTTGTTTATGTGTACGAACAAATTCATATATATGTTTGTTTGTTTGTTTGTTTGTTAACTCCTTTACAAGATTGTTTACTCGATTTTTCTTCTTTTTTACATTTTAGTCACTAGTCAAAGTTTGGGTATTAAAATTCACATGCAGCAACCGCGTTAGCACATGGGTATCTAAAGGCTTGAAATCGACCATAATCACACCATCTTCTATTCAGATTATCAGTATAAGTAGTATAAGTCCCACTCTTAAGTGGTCAAACAAGTGTTTGGACAATATAATCAGATTCCAGTCTGGTGAAGTTACGAACATACATTGATGTTGCATGAGTTTGATTTTTGGTCATTGTTTTCTCCATAGAGCCCAATTTCTACATTTGTTGAACATTGTTTCTACCTGGGCACATTTGTCTGCCCAAACTTTACTCAATCTGAAGTATGTCTCCTGAACAATACTTACCATTGGAAGATGTCTAATCCATTTTAGCATTGAATTAATACACTCGGTAATATTGATTGTCATATGACTATAACGTCGACCTTGATTGTCATATGTATGTGCCCATTTTTCCCGAGGTATCTCAGCTACAAAGTTATACACCTTTTCTCCATACTTTCTCAAATTTTCCAGTCTTGCATGGAAGCTCAGTTGTAGTAATGCGTATCCTGAAAAAATAGTTAGGTGTAAGTTTAATAATTTTAAATGAAGACCAATACCAAAAAATAAAGGTAAAACTACATAAGTTACGCATGTGAACCTCATCATAATATTTGAAGCAATATAATGTATGTCAATCATGGCCAACAACCCAGGTGAACAATCTGATATCATATAAACCCCATCTTAGGTAACAACATGGGAGCACAAGTTTGACAAAAAGAAATTCCACTTTTCCTCATACTCATTTTTAACAATAGCGAAGGCAATGGAGAAGATGTTTTTGTCACCATATTCTGCAACAGATATCATAAGGATGTATTTGTATAAGCCATACAGAAAAGTGTCATCCACCTGAACCATCTGTTTGCAGTAACAAAAGCCTTCAATTTGTGACTTGGAAGCCCAAAACAAGCCTCTGAAAACTCTTTACCCAGGGATAACTTGTCCATTAAATGTGGTTGCAGGATAAGTGTAGGAGCGAACAATGGTTCCTGGGATGAAATATTCCATTAAGTGCAACAGATGTTGCAGCTCATTGTACTACTGATCCCAATCACCGTACAGTAGTGTCATAGCTTTGAGTTTGACTATCCAGGACTTGTAATAAGATGAAATATAACCAAATGTATTCTATATTGATGCCATAATCATTGATATCGGGATCTTGGATTTTTCTCCACTAGTAGCTTCACGTATGCACATATGACATCAGAGTCTAAATGCTTGCGGTCTTGTGTCAAGGAGATGAACATGCAACTGTTTTGGTTGTGGAACCTTGTGACTTCCCACAACATATTTCGTTGTAGGAATGAGACAATTATCCTCCACTTACAGCCAACATTATTGTTAATACATCTGACAAAATATGTCTTCTGGTCAGACTCCACAACAGTGAATTCCATATGATCTTTGATACAAAACTCCTTCACAGCTAGTTGTGCATCCTTCTTACTCCCAAATTATGACCCAACTCCAAACTCCGTCGATCCTTCATCCTAGGTCCCCTAGTGGGTTGGGCATATATATGACATATCAAGAATATCAAGATTCCTCATGGCATCATAGTTTATCTCATGCATTGCAACTGTATGACGATATTGAGGCACTGGGGTTGTGAACTTTCTGCTTGCATGAATATTGGTGGATTTGCCCAAACTCGTAGAGCATTCTACATTGCTTGGCCACGAGAAACTGTTGCCTCCCAGACATCACCCTCTATATCCAAGGCTTGTCCCTCTAAAGGAGCCTCAACGATATCAAATTCATCAATTTATTGTGTGCCATCGTGTAATACCCCCAACCCATACCCGACCCGGATACGAGTCTGATGTGTCACATTGACTTTTCAAACTTTGACTCTTAAAGAAAATCAAGGGAAATTTTGAACTTTCATTAAAATAAAAGTTGTTAACTTACAAAAGTTTGACCAGAACAATACAAAACCGATCAGAGCATTCGTAATTAACAAATTGTTCACATGCCAACATACTAAATACAACAAAACACATACTTTGCCAATTACTTCTGATCTGATCTTCTAGTAGTGATGTTTTCATTGCCACTCCTAATTCTGATCTTCTGGTTTCTTGGTACCTACGTGTAAATCACTTACACGCTAAGTCACAGACTTAGTGAGGCATAAAATGAACATATAACAATAGATTCATGAACATGCACTACTATCAATCCATAATAACATTGCAATGTACATGTATTTAATAAACTATGACATATATAATTATGATATGCATAAGTGAACTTTAACTTCTTATAATAATTTTCATTCAATTTATCTTTGGATGCCCATGTATATTATTGAGAACAGAAGGTACGTGAGTACACTGAGGTTGTGCATGAATGTTGTCACCACAGCTCGAATAAAATTCCCACTAGGGGCACTAAAAACTTGTCCCGAAGGACCACTGATAATCCCTCGACTCTTGGAAAGCCAATTATACCTACAACTCTCATATCATATAACATGGGCTTAATTATGAATACATTTCCCATTTTCGTATCTCTTTTATTACTTCTCATATAAACACATAATTCACTTCAGATGCACACATATAATCACTTTCCTTATTTCACATACCTGGATTGATTATCTTATAACATCTTACATTCATATAATATCATGTTAAAGCAAGGATAATTTATGCATGAAATCACTATAACCATAATATATATATATATATATATGCATGTACATGAATATAAAATCATAAATTCAACTATAAGAGATAGACTTATCACAAGTCTTGTCTCCATACAACTCTATCTAGGGTATGCACTCACCTTAGCCTTGCTTGATTCTAGCACTTTCTCTCTCTCAACCGTTTCTAATTCTTCTATTGTTCCGGAACCGAGATACGTTTAATATCTACATAATCATATATTGATACATATCAATATTCTAACTGTTATACTCTAATCTTTCATTTCTTATACTAAAGGAAAAGTATATTTTTCATTTTCATTTGAAAGAGGTATCAGTACACACTATAGGGTACCGATACCACCCTAGTTGAGGGTATCAATACCCATACGGGTATCGGTACCGAATTTACATTCGATATCACCCTGTTATCGATACCTCCCTTAAGGTATCAGTACCTAAATTACATTCGATAATTTTCGTTCAAAGATGGTATCTATACCTTCCTTAAGGTATCGGTACCATTTGAATTCATTCCTTAATTTTACTCTTGAGGTATCGGTACCTGTTGAATGGGTACCGATACCCCCTTGCCCAGAATCATATCTTAAGCACGAAAACTACTTCATTCCAACTCAAATACTTTATCTTAGAACCCCTTTCACCCACTTAACTCAAGTATACATATATAAACAAATTTTTAATCACTTAATACATCTTTATCCTCAAATTCTCATCCTCCATATGGAATTCAAGATTCCTACCAAATTTTCTACTTGTTCTAAATTCAATTCTAACACTTCATATCTCTTCATTGGGTTGATGACAAGTCAAATTTGATCTTGAAATCTAATTTCTACTTCTCTACCAAAATTCCATTTAAGAACCCCTCATCTTTAATCCCTCCTACCCCCTTCATCTTGTCATTTTAAGACAAATTAAGTTTTCCTTAATCTTAAGTGTCATCTAATGATCAAAACCAAACTTAAATTTCAACTAATAATCAGCTAATGAGAAATCTCACATTTGCTTTAAGTCTTCACGTATGAAGAAAAGATGAGAAAAATATAACTCTGGAAGCTTTTGTTTTTCTTCCCCATCAATACACGTGGCTCAATATATACTTAACCAAATTTAATTATTTACTTTCCAAATACCATCTTATCCTTCAATTTCATCTTTTTTGCAATTCAATCATATACCAAATTTACAATATAAGCCCCTAGACTATTTAATTATTCTACTTTAGTCACCAAATTCTAAAGTTTTACAATTTAATCACTAACCCGGTATTAAAGATATTACAAATCTCCCCTTAAGAAAATTCATCCTCGAATTTTCATTGAGCAAAGAGATAGGGTATTGATTCCTCATGTCCTCTTCACGCTCCCACGTTGCTTTCTCTACCTTGTGATTCCTCCATAAGACTTTGACTAATGGAATAGTCTTGTTCCTTAGTTGCTTAACCTCGTGAGCAAAGATTTGGATCGGTTCTTCCCCATAAGTCAAGTCTTGTTATACTTCAATCTCTTCTGGTGTCACTAAATGGAAGGGATCAAATCGATATTTTCGAATCATTAAAACATGAAAGACATCATGGATCTTCTCCATTTCGGGTGGCAAAGCTAGCTGATATGCCACTGGTCCTACTCTTTTGATAACCTCATAGGGTCCAATAAACCTGGGACTAAGCTTTCCCTTACGTCCAAACCTTAAAACCTTCTTCCAAGTAGATACTTTAAGAAACACTTTGTCTCCAATTTGATATTCTATCTCCTTTCTCTTTAGATCTGCATATGATTTCTGTCGATCGATTGTTGCTTTGAGGTTACTCTGAATCACTTGGACCTTTTCTTCCACTTCTTGAATCAACTCAGGAGCAAAACTTCTCTATTTTTAAGCTCGAACCAATTCAAGGGCGTATGACATCTCCTACCATAAAGAGCTTCGTAGAGAGCCATTTTGATGCTTGAATGATAACTATTGTTGTACGCAAATTCGGCAAGTGACAAATACCTTTCCCACGATCTCTTGAA